GAGCGGTAAATTAGTGCCAGCTAGCGTAGTTTGAGAGAATACGTCTAGTAAATTGTATTAGTTGCTCGAGAGAGAGCTACGACACTAAAAGTACTCACCATCGATAGAGAATATTTAGGCGAATTTATAGGAAACGTAGCATGGTAGATTCCGACAATAGGGAAAATCATAACCTTAGACTTTTTCAAATCTTGTCTGCAACATTTGCTTTTTTAGTTATAAATTACTTCATTTTTAATTACTTTGATCTTAGTTAGTAAACTCTCAAATTGTTATATAATATTTCTGAAGGTTGATTACTTGAATTCGTGCAAGACTATTAGTTGTAATTAGCACGTTATTTCCCTGTGGGATTCGACTCCGGACTTGTAAACCGGATTATATTTGCAACGACCGCTAGACCTCTTAGGAGGCATAGTTGGGCGTGATCAAATTTTGGCGCCGTTGCCGGGAAAAGCAACAGTGTTACTAATTACAGCTATAAGAACTGTTAAGATTCTTAGTTTAGTCAATTTTCTCCATTTTTATTCATTACGTTGAAATTCTAACGTTTGTGGTCTTGTGTGTTATAGGTGTATGCCTAGAAACTCTTCAAGAACTGGTGAATTATTTGAAGCATTACCGGATCCTGAAAAACTTTCAAGGCACTAAATCGTGCAAACAAGAAAGACAAACAACAACATCACCCAAGAGAACAAATTGAACCGGACATGGGTGACGCTTTGGATAATCAAAACAATCGAAACAATGTGAATGACCAGAATAATCAGGGTGTGGCACCTCTTGTGCCAGAAGCAGCTTTGTATGATTGGGCACAACCCATCGCTGAAAATTTGGCAACTGCAATTGCAGTCCCTGAGATACAAGCGAAGTCATTTCAAATCACAAACAGCATGTTACATCTACTGCAGAACAAAGGACTGTTCTACGGGTATTACATTGAAGATCTACAACAACATCTGAAAAATTTTCTGTCAATTTATGTCACGCAAAGGCAACCAAATGTGACACCGAAAGCAATAAGACTGTTGTTGTTTCCCTTCTGAGTGATAGGAGAATCCCATATTTGGCTTAATTCGCTACCTATAAATTCCGTCACCACTTGGGAGGAATTAGTCAAGCAACTTTTAATTAAGTTCTACTCACCCAATAAGACTGCCAAGCAAATTGATGAAATATTAAGCTTCAGGCAGAAACCAGCTGAAACATTACAAGAAACGTGGGAGAGGTTCAAAGATATGTTGGTTAAGTTTTCGCATCATGTCATTCCAGATCAGATATTGGGACAACGGTTTTACATGAGATTGACAGATAGCTTAAAGGCCAATGTTGATGCTTCAGCAAGTGGAGCATTTTTGAGCAAGTCATTTAGAGAGTGTAAGGTCCTTCTAGATAAAATGGCTCAAATCTCAGGATGGATTTCACTCAGTAGCATTGGACCCGAAAAATTCCATAGCTGAATATATGGCCACTCTGATGACGCAAATGAGTATCCTCACCAAGAAGATTGATGAAACAGGCCATAAGCAGGTACACATAGTTGACACGACTAATGGGGGATTATGTACACCATTCATTAACCAACCATACGTGTGTTCGTGGAGTGGTGAAAGTGATAACCAGAACTATCAAGAGAACATGAACTATGTGGGCAACTATGGAGTCCAGAGGCAAGGTGGTCAGAATTGGGGGCAGCAAAATTAGCAGTATAGACCAACACAACAACAGTACAATAACACCAACAATTATGGAGTTATGCGACCACAAGGTCAAGTAGTACCTTACTAAAGGCAACAAGGATACAACTGGCAAAATCGGCAGCTAGCTTATCAGCAACCTCAACAACAGCAAATAGTGAGGCAGGATGATGGGTTATCTGAAATTAAAGGAATGTTGCAACAACTCATTGGGGACAGCGGGAAAATAGAAGATAAGGTCCACCAAATGCAAGAAAGGGTAATGTCACACAACTCGGCTATCAAGGGAATTGAGATTTAACTAGGGCAATTATCCTTGGCCTTTAACAATCGTCCTCAAGGGACGTTACCTGCGGACAAAGATGTCAATCCAAAGAGCAAGGCCCGAAGCCTCTTATGGCGGTGAGCTTGAGACATGGCAGAGATCTTGATTTAGAGCAAGAAATTGCTCGTGAGAGCCGGTTAACTGAAACACTTGTGTCAGTGCCAATTGAGTTAGATGAGTCAACTGGGCTAACAAAAGTAAGAGTGCAACCAGCCCAAGAGGAAATAAACAAGGAAAAAGAGGTTGCGGAGGAGACTGAGAAAGTGCCAGAAAAGGTTTTAGAAAAAGTGCCTGAGCAGGATCTAACTCAAGCTACAGGAAAGAAGCGACCTCCAGCACCCTTCCCGCAGAGGTTGGCCAAATATCAGAAAGATGAGCAATATAAAAAGTTCATGGAAATGCTAAAGCAAATTCAGGTAAATATTCCTCTAATCGATGCTTTGAGGGAGATGCCCGGTTATGCAAAAATGATGAAAGACTTGATGTCTCGTAAGTTCGACTTCCAAGACTTGGCAACTGTCACATTGACACAGACTTGTAGTGTTGTTGTGTCAAGACCTATAGCTGAGAAGTTATTCGACCCTGGAAGCTTCACAATTCCATGCACCATAGGTAGCTATGTATTTGCCAAATCATTGTGTGATTTGGGAGCAAGTATAAATCTGATGCCATTGTCTATCTATAAAAAGTTAGCCATTGGAAGAGCAAGGCCCACATCCATGCTACTGCAACTAGCTGACCGAACGGTGAAAAGGCCATTAGGTATACTTGATGATGTACCTGTGCAAGTTGGAAAATTCGTGTTTCCAGCAGATTTTGTCATTCTGGACTACAATGTTGATGAGGAGATTCCCATAATTTTGGGAAGGCTATTCTTGGCCACAGGGAGAGCTTCGATTGATTGTGAAATGGGGGAAATGAAGATGAGGCTGAATAATGAAGAAATAACATTTAATGTGCAAAAGTCTATGCGGCGACCTAGTGAGTTTGTAAATTGCTCTTTGTTAGACATGGTGGATGTAATCATGGAGGAAGATGACGAGGCATTTAATGCAAAAGACCCTCTAACAGTATGCTTTATGAACTTAAAAGAAGTAAATGGTGAGGACATGGAAGAATGGGTGTTGGCTCTTCAAGGGCAAGGGTACTGGAAAAGAGAGCTCGAATTCGAGCCTTTACACTTTGAAGAACGAAAGAACCCTCCAGCCAAGCCATCGATCGAAGCACCACCACAATTGGAGATGAAACCGCTACCATCTCACCTTAGGGATGCTTTCTTGGGACCTAATTCGACTTTACCCGTTATTATCTCATCTGGTTTGTTAGATGTGCAGGTAGAACAACTTTTGCAGGTGTTGAAAGAGTGCAAGAATGCAATTGGTTAGACCATTACAGACATTAAGGGAATCAGTCCGGCCTTATGTATGCATAAAATTCTACTGGAAGATGGGCACAAGCCTTCCAAAGAACGCCAAAGAAGGTTGAACCCTAACATGAAGGAAGTGATTAAGTGGTTAGATGTGGGAATTATTTTCCCCATCTCAAATAGCAACTAGGTTAGCCCAGTTCAGTGTGTGCCAAACAAAGGTGGGATGACTGTTGTGCAAAATGAGAATAATAAATTAATCTCCACAACAATAGTCACGGGATGTCGAATTTGCATGGACTACAGAAGATTGAACAAGGCCACCCGAAAAGATCATTCCCCATTGTCGTTCATTGATCAGATGCTAGATAGATTGGCAGGGAGGTCCCAATTTTGCTTTTTGGATGGATACTCGGGGTATAATCAGATATCAATTTCCCGGGAGGATAGAGAGAAAACGTCATTCACCTGTCCATATGGCATTTACGCTTTTCGGAGAATGCCGTTTGGACTATGCGATGCACCCGCCACATTCCAAATGTGCATGATGGCCATCTTCACAGATATGGTAGAGGACATAATGGAGGTTTTCATGGATGATTTCTTAGTGGTGGGAAACTCTTTTGATGATTGCCTAATAAATCTAAAAAGAGTACTACAGAGATGTATGGATACTTATCTGGTGCTAAATTGAGAAAAATACCATTTTATGGTACAAGAAGGTATAGTCTTGGGACACCTAGTGTCAAGTAAGGGTATTGAGGTGGACCGTGCCAAGATTGATGTAATAGAGAAGCTTCCACCACCCACTTCCGTCAAGGCAATAAGAAGTTTCCTTGGTCACGCCGATTTTTACAGGCGGTTCATAAACGTTTTTTCCAAGATTGCTAACCCTTTGTGTAAATTGCTTGAAAAAAATCACCCTTTTGTGTTTACGGATGACTGCAGGGTAGCTTTCGAAGGATTGAAGAAGAGGCTAGTGTCTGCACCTATCATAGTTGCACCTGACTGGGAGCAACCATTTGAGCCGATGTGTGATGCAAGTGATCATGCAGTGGGAGCAGTACTTGGACATAGAAAAGATAAAATCATGCATCCAATCTACTATGCAAGTAGAACATTGAATGGAGCTCAACTGAATTATATAGTGACAGAAAAAGAGATGCTAGCAGTGGTGTTCGCATTTGCTAAATTCCGGTCCTACTTGATAGGCTCGAAGATAATTGTTTATACTGACCATGCTTCTCTCAGGTACCTAATTGATAAAAAGGAAGCAAAGTCGCACCTCATTCGATGGGTTCTACTACTGCAAGAGTTTTACTTGGAAATTCGTGACCGAAAAGGAACGGAAAACCAAGTTACCGATCACTTGTCTAGGCTTGAAGGAGCTGAAACGAAGGTTGAGGTGGAAGAGATCATGGAAACTTTCCAGGACGAACATTTATTGGCCACGATCCTTGAGGTAGCACTATGGTATGCAGATATTGCAAACTACCTAACAAGCGGTATTGTTCCATATGACTTATCTTCTGTATAGAAGAAAAAGTTCTTTTGTGATTGTCGCATGTATTTCTGGGATGAACCATATTTGTTTCGGATTTGTATTGATAACATGATTCGGAGATGTATTCCCGAGATAGACCAAGCTTATGTTTTCCAGGCATGCCATGCTATTCCTTATGGAGGTCATTTTGGAGGAGTAAGGACAACTGCTAAAGTTTTGGAGTCGGGCTTCTATTGGCCAACGTTGTTTAAAGATGCACATTTTTGGGTAAAGAGCTGTGATGAATGTCAAAGGACGGGGAATATTTTCCGTCGACATGAGATTCCCATGAACCCAATACAAGAAATGGAAGTATTTGATGTATGGGGAATCGACTTTATGGGACCATTTGTTAGCTAATACAATAACAAGTATATACTCGTAGCAGTGGACTATGTCTCGAAATGGGTAGAAGCTGTAGCACTCCCAACAAATGATGCAAAGAGAGTTATTGATTTTCTAAGAAAAAATATCTTCACCCAATTTGGAACTCTAAGAGCTATAATCAGTGATGGTGGAACTCATTTATGCAATAAAGCTTTTGCAAGGCTACTAGAAAAGTATGGATTTCGCCATAAGGTTGCCACGCCTTACCACCCGCAAATAAGCGGGCAAGTGGAAGTATCCAATAGGGAAATCAAAAGTGTCCTGACCAAGACAGTGAATGTGACTCAGACTGATTGGGCAAGGAAGTTGGATGATGCATTATGGGCTTACTGCACAATATTTAAAACTCCAATCGGTATGTCACCATACAAATTGGTATTCGAAAAGGCGTGTCACTTACCTGTGGAGCTAGAGCATAGATCTTTTTGGGCATTAAGGCAATTAAATCTTGACATGGAGGCCGCTGGTACGAGTAGAGCCACAGAGCTTCATGAACTTGATGAGTTTCGTTACCATGCTTTTGAAAGCACCAGGCTGTACAAGGAAAGGATGAAGATCATTCACGATAAGCACATTCTAGATATGAACTTCAAACCCGGAGATCTGGTGTTGTTATACAACTCGAGATTGAGATTATTTTCGGATAAACTGAAATTTAGATGGTCGGGACCATTTAGAGTTGTGCAAGTGTTCCCAAGTGGAGCTGTAGAAATTGAGTACGAAGGTGGAACTAACAGGTTTAAAGTGAATGGGCAAAAGTTGTAACACTATCTTGGAATGATTGAAGAAAAAGGAGAGAAAGATGTGATGTACTTGAAAGAGCCCTAATATGTGAGCGAAACGAGATCCTGAAAGCCCGCGTCGTGCCATGACGTTAAATAAGGCAATGCGTGGGAGGCAACCCACGACTCTAAGTCATTATTAGTATTTTATTTTTATTATTTTTATTTTTGTTAGGGTAAATTAATTTTAATTGGTTAGTTTGTTTGTTTTGTAGGATTAATACACAGCTGCGAAGTCCGTGGAGCAAATAAGGTCACCCAAGAAAGGGTTAGCTCGAAAGCTTCACGAAATGTAGTAACTATTAAAAAAAATAATTTGCGTAACAGTGTGCTAAGAGAGTATAGCACAGGGATAGCACAACAAGGCAAAATAGTTTTTTCCTTAATAGTGTGCTAAGAGAGTATAGCACAGGGATAGCACAACAAGACAATTTCCCCCCCTTAACAGTGTGCTAAGAGAGTATGGCATAGGGATAGCACAATGCGGCAAAACTATTTCTTTCCTTAACAGTGTGCTAAAAGAGTATAGCACAACAAGTGATGTAGATGTGGAGGACGTCAGTGACTCTTATGCTGATGACTCCGACTACACTACTTAGAGGGAATATTTCTTCACCCATGTTCTTTATTTTGTTGCATTGGGGACATTGCAAATTCTTAAGTGTGGGGTGGGGGAATATCTTATATGTAGTGTAGTTTATTTTTTTTTAGCATAGTAATCTCATTGGATTTTCTTGGACTTGGTTCTTTCCCAATGAGTTTTTCTTTTGAACCAAGCATTTTTCTTTCTTTCCTTCTATTTGTAATATATATACATAAAAAAAATAGAGAGAACTTGAAGCAAAGAAAATTCACTCCTTGAAAAGCTGTATTTTGTGAGAGTCACCTAAGTTGTTCTTGAACCTCCTTTCTGAGCTCATGTTTGTACATTGACGTTGAAACATAGTGACTTGTAAATCCCATGTATATTGTGCGGGGAGTTTTTGTTGTGCATTTCCGTGTATGCATGTCAGTCTAGAACTTGCCCTGCATGTTATTTGAGGTGAAATCTTAGAAATTTTTTATCCTTAGAGTGATAGTAGGCATTCTTTGATATAAACCACTTGTGCCTAAATTAGCCTACCAAATGAATGAATATCCCTAGCATCCTAATTTGCACCTATTAACCTTTTCTTTGGCAACCCATGTTACGAGCCATGTCTATTTTGCATTAATCTCTCTTATTAACCCATCCCCCCTTAACTACTTTAGGTTGTGTGATTGGGCAAAAGTTGTGGTTATGAGAAAATATTATGTACTTAAAAACTCAAAGTTGCACCAAATAATGAAAGTTAAGTCCCTTGATACTCCCTTTTTTGAAGATCCATTATTAATAAGAAGAAGATATATTTGAGAAAAGTAAGAGGGAGACAAAAGAAAATAATAAGTTGGGACTTCGGTGCTTGAGCTGCGGAAAAACAAAAAAATATGGAAAGTGTCTACAGAGAAAAGAGTGGGAAGCGTAGAGGTTAGTGATGCTTAAAGTGTTTAGGGGAAGATTTAGTCACTATATAACCAAAAGTGTCCATACCTTACCCCAAGCCAACATTACAAGCTATGAAAAGTCCTACTTGACTGTGGATTGAGACTCCTATATTAGTGGATAGTGACAGAATGGGCAAGCTTATGGTACTGTATGTGTCGCATGTGAAATTCCTTGATGAGTGCGAGTGTTTTGTTTTATATGCCCTAGTGCTTGTGAATTGTTACTATAGATGTGTGTTTTGGGGGCATTTCTTTCTTTGTGAGGTACAATGGGATTTGTAAGGAGTAAAGTTTCGAGTTTCAATAGATGAATCTGAGCAAAAGAAAGGTGTTCACTCTTGTGGTTGATATCTCTGAATAATTGCTTAACAAGGAGTTTGAATGAGCTTGACTGCTTCTTAGTGATTTGTCTGTGATATCATGTGTTTGCTCAAGGACAAGCAAATGTCTAAGTATGGGATGGTAATAATATGCTAGAATTACATGTAATTGGATACAATTTACCCCTTCTTTGGTGAGTTTTTAGGTGTTTTGAATGTTGAAAGATGACCAATCGAGCTTAATTGTTAAAGTTTGTTATGTAGGAAGCCAAGAGTGAAGAATAAAGGTGATTTGAGCAAAAATAAAGCAAAAAGGCAATTTTTGAAGAAAAGAAAAATCGGATCAGGCAGTGAAGTAACTTTGAAAAGCATAGGGAAAGCACCGAAAAATCTGGAAAACACAACCAGGCCCTGTGCGAAGCACAACTATAGCACAAGGGAAAATTTGCCTGCGTTTTATCTTGAGGGGCAACTTAGTCAATTGGCTTAGAGACGTGATATAAAAGTTTTTAACCCTAATTGCAGCCACATACTTGACCTGAGAAGGCAAGAAACACCATTGTTGAAGCAAAGTTGAGCCCGGAAGATCCTCAAGTTAATTCAAGAAGACGAATCGAAGAGTTTCTCTCTACTTTTCTATCTTTATTTCTATGAATATTGGTTTGACAATGGTTTATGTATTTTTGAGTAGTGTTATGAGTAGCTAAACTCTTTAATCTAAGGTTTGATGGAACCTATTTGAGGATGATTTTCTACTGCGTTTAATATAGATTTGCCTTTGATTTTTCTCTACTTATTCAACTATATTTTTATTGTTGTTAATTGAAGAGATCTCAATTAATTGTGCCTATTTAGTGTATATATTACTCGAGAGAGAGTAAATATTTAGGTAGTTGTTGAACAACACCACTCCTAACGTAGTTGAGAGATCGATACAGGGGGTTTAAAGGCGAGATTAGAGATAACGAAGCCTTGGTGCGATCGTCGTGAGCGGTAAATTAGTGCCAGCTAGCGTAGTTCGAGAGAATACGTCTAGTAAATTGTATTAGTTGCTCGAGAGAGAGCTACGACACTAAAAGTACTCACCATCGGTAGAGAATATTTAGGCGAATTTATAGGAAACGTAGCATGGTAGATTCCGACAATAGGGGAAATCATAACCTTAGACTTTTCCAAATCTTGTCTGCAACATTTGCTTTTTTGTTATAAATTACTTCATTTTTAATTACTTTGATCTTAGTTAGTAAACTCTCAAATTGTTATATAATATTTCTGAAGGTTGATTACTTAATTCGTGCAAGACTATTAGTTGTAATTAGCACGTTAATTTCCTGTGGGATTCGACTCCGGACTTGTAAACCGGATTATATTTGCAACGACCGCTAGACATCTTAGGAGGCATAGTTGGGCGTGATCAAATTTTGGCGCCGTTGCCGTGAAAAGCATAGTTGGGAGACGAATAAATAATAATATGGGTGACAATCAAAATAGTCATGTTATTTTCGAAGTTCTCTTTTTCTGATAATAGGGTTAGGTGATTAGTTTTTGTTATTAGGAAGTTGTCTTTATGATTACGAGAGTGCCTGGCTGATGCCGCAATATTGCAGTGTATCAATTAACGATAGCAGCTTTTAGAGGATTGTATGATTTGAAGTTTTCTGATATTTGGGACATATTTATGCCTCTTCTTTCAAGCTAGCTACATTCATTTTCCAACATATAGGGATCACTTTTTAGGCGGTCAGAAGTTTAAGGGATAAGACGATTTACTGGTCTTTCATTCAAGTAAAGGAGTTGATAACTCTCTTGCACTTAAATTAATTGTTTATTGCGTTTGATGGTGACTTCAATCATTCTTTACGTAATGAAACATTCAATTTTCCCGAGGTGTCATTTTTTATTTTCTAAGTCGGTACCTACCGGGTACATGGTTTTGTTAAATGAATTACAAAGGCATTGATTAACCCATTTTTATAAAGGCAAGGCTCAAGAGTCAATACCATGTTATCTACTTCTAATTCGGACTTGGTAAAATGGTGATCATTTTCTTGATATAAATGATTTTTCTCCTCCCCTTCCCCACCACACAATTTACAATCTTAAGAAAGGAGAATTTGATTGCAATGACCCAAAATACACTATAGGCCGTGATGACGCTTAACGCCGCCGTCACACAAGCAAACATAAATTTACTAATTCAGTTACCCATCTTTATTACCTTTGCAATCAATATTTCCATTAACTAATTGGCATAAAATAGGATTTACAGAGTGAAACAATGATGGTTATATGAATTACTGTACCAAACATCCAGTAGGAACCTAATAATATGCTAGAATTACATGTAATTGGATATATTTTACCCCTACCTTTGTGTGTTTTGAATGTTGAAAGATGACCAATCGAGCTTAATTGTTGAAGTTTGTTATGTAGGAAGCCAAAAGTGAAGAATAAAGGTGATTTGAGCAAAAATGAAGCTAAAAGGCAATTTTTGAAGAAAAGGAAAATCGGACCAGGCAGTGAAGTAACTTTGAAAAGCACAGGGAAAGCACCGAAAAATCTAAAAAACACAACCAGGCCCCGTGCGAAGCACAACTATAGCACAAGGGAAAATTTGCCTGCGTTTTATCTTGAGGGGCAACTTAGTCAATTGGCTTAGGGACGTGATATAAAAGTTTTCAACCCTAATTGCAGCCACATACTTGACCTGAGAAGGCAAGAAACACCATTGTTGAAGCAAAGTTGAGCCCGAAAGATACTCAAGTTCATTCAAGAAGACGAATCGAAGAGTTTCTCTCTACTTTTCTATCTTTATTTCTATGAATATTGGTTTGACAATGGTTTCTGTATTTTTGAGTAGTGCTATGAGTAGCTAAACTCTTTAATCTAAGGTTTATGGAACCTATTGGAGGATGATTTTCTACTGCATTTAATATAGATTTGCCTTTGATTTTTCTCTACTTGTTCAACTATATTTTTATTGTTGTTAATTGAAGAGATCTCAATTAACTGTGCCTATTTAGTGTGTATATTACTCGAGAGAGAGTACATATTTAGGTAGTTGTTGAACAACACCACTCCTAACGTAGTTGAGAGATCGATATATGGGTTTTAAAGGCGAGATTAGAGATAACGAAGC